ACACATTCACTCACACACACACGCACGCACACTCACACACACACGTACACATTCACTCACACACACACGCACGCACACTCACACACACACGTACACATTCACTCACACACACACGCACGCACACTCACACACACACGTACACATTCACTCACACACACACGCACGCACACTCACACACACACGCACACACTCACTCACACACACACGCACGCACACTCACACACACACACACACTCACACACATGCACGCACGCACACATTCACTCACACACACACGCACGCACGCTCACGCACACTCACACACACACACGCACACACACACGCACACATTCACTCACACACACACACACACACTCACACAAACAAACAAACACACACACACACTCTCTCACACACACACACACACAAACACACACACTATATACAGATAAGTTTGGAGTTGGTAAGATTTTTTTGCAATATTTTTGAAAGAAGTCTTTTCTGCTCAACAAGACTGCATTTATTTGATCAAAAATACATCAAAAAATTTGAAATATTATTAGAATGTAAAACAGCTGTTTTCTATGTGAATATCTGTTAAACTGTAATGTATTTCTGTGATGCGCAGCTGTATTTTCAGCATCATTACTCCAGTCTTCAGTGTCACATGATCTTCAGAAATCATTCTAACAGTCGTGCTGCACAATATTTTTGTGGAAACCGTGATACGTTGTATTTTTCAGGATTCACAGATGAATAGAAAGTTGAAAAGAACAGCATTTATTTGAAATAGAAATCTTTTGGAACTTTATAAAACAGTGTCGGGGAAAGTTATTTTTTAAAAGTAAAGCATTGCAATATTGCATTACTCCCTGAAAAAAGTAACTAATTATGCTACTTAGTTACGTTTTATGGAAAGTAATGCGTTACGTTTCTTTTGCGATGCTTTTTCTTATCTGGCTGGCTTCATTTTCTCTCTTCAGAAACAAAAAACTGTCAGTCAATACATGGGAAACAAAGTAACTGCTGTTACTTATTTAAAGAAGTAACTCGGATATTTTCTTGCTTATTAAAAAGTAATGCATTACTTTACTAGTTACTTGAAAAAAGCAATCTGATTATGTAACTCGCGTTACTTGTAATGCGTTATAAACGATTTTACTGTCACTTCTGATCAATTTAATGCATCCTTGATGAATAAAAGTATTAATTTCTGTCAACTTTGCAGGATAAGGAGAATCCTCTAGATAATGTGCTGCTGTATTCTCTGAGGAGAGCCGGATCTGTGGAGATGCTGGATCAGAGCGGAGACGAGGACGAGAATCGCGGTGGAAATAAGGCTTCGTGTAAGCTGTGTTTCGTACCTTCACGGACCCAGTGCAGTGTTGTCAGGCGGATCTTTTTCACATCTTTTCTCCGCAGTGCCTCGCTCCACGTCTAACCCGGAGAGCTCGGAGCACAAGCGTGTGAAGAGCCGCTTGAAGAAGCTGATTCTCCGGAGGCCTCCGCTGCAGACGCTGCAGGAGAAAGGACTCATTAAAGGTAAACCCTAAAGGCCCGCGGTCACACCAAGGAGGATAACTATAAAGATATTTGTATTCTAAACGGAAAAGAATAGCAGAGTACCACAGCTATTATGATAACGGCACGGAGGAACCAATCACTGGAATCACTTTCAGAGCGATTCTCGAGCAAAATCATTATACTTATTTTTATACAGTTATCATTCTTGGTGTGAAAGGGCCTTAAAAGATACTTAGACTTGTCAAAACTACTGTAAATCACTGCCATTATGCTTCGCTATTTACACATCTTCACATCACAGATGCCACGTCTCTTTATTTCTACCCTGTTTGTTGCTGAAATAAAATTAGTGTGTGAGTGTGTGTGTGTCTGTGAGTGTGTGTCTGTGTGTGTGTGTGTGTGTGAGTGTCTGTGTGTGTCTGTGAGTGTGAGTGTGTGTGTGTCTGTGTGTGTCTGTGTGTCTGTGTGTGTCTGTGAGTGTGTGTCTGTGTGTGTCTGTGAGTGTGTGTGTGTCTGTGTGTGTGTGTGTGTGTGTGTGTGTGTGTGTGTGTGTGTGTGTGTCTGTGTGTGTGAGTGTCTGTGTGTGTGTAAAAATCGTAATGTTTCCAAACGTTTGACAAGTACTATATTTCCATATATTACAAATAACATTCATAGCCTATTAATTCATGGTCATTGTAAATAAAATGATTTTCTTTTTCTCGCCAAAACAGCAATTATTTGATACAGTACAAACACTAATATTGTGAAATATTGTTACAATAAAAAAAAAGCTGTTTTCTATGTGAATATATTGTGAAATGTAATTGATTGCTGTGATCAAAGCTGAATTTTCAGCATCATTACTCCAGTCCAATAAAGTAATATTTATGCAGAAAGCATGAAATACTACCATTCAAATGTTTGTTTTTAATAGAAATAAATGCTCTTATTCAGCAAATCTGCATCTAATTGATCGAAAGTCACAGTAAAGGCCTTTATAACGTAACAAAAGATTTATATTTCAAATGAATGCTGTTCTTTTCAGTAGTAGTAAAATATTAAGCAGCAAAAACTGATAAGAAGAACCATTATTAATAACTGAGCACCAATAATAATTGAGCACCATGTGACACTGAAGACTGGAGTAATGATGCATTACAGAAATAAATGACATTTTACAATATATTCACATTTCGAATTTCATAATATTACTGTGTTTTTGATCAAATAAATGCAGCTTTGATGCACAGAAGAGACTTCTTTAAAAACATTTAATTGGGTTTCCATTCAAAATGAAATGGAATGTGAAGTTATCTGCTGATGTTGTCTGTGTGAGTGTCCTGCGCTGACTCTGTGTTTCTGATCTCAGATCAGGTGTTCGGCTGCGGGCTGGAGCTGCTGTGTGAGCGAGAGAAAAGCAGCGTCCCTCAGTTCGTCAGGAAATGCACCGATGCTGTGGAGAGGAGAGGTGCGATCAATCAATCACAAACACTTCAGCGGGACAATATCCAAAAGGAAGAAGGACATTTTTGTGCGCTCCTCATTTGAGAGTCACACTCATGGTCTTCGCGGTCAAAAGTGACCGGACAGCAGAAATGTAACTTTTTTTTTTTCTTCAGTAAAATCAATCTAATATATTTTTGTTCAATAATATTTTTTCTTTTGTATTTTGAGAGGATTTTTTGGTACTAATTCATATTTATGCAATAATTATGATCGGTTTTTCCCATTGAGAATAGTACAAAATTTAAAAAAAATGTTAAATTATTTTTCAATGAATGCAGTATTTCAGATTAAAATAAAGACTAGGCCTTTAAAATCCAATTTTTGACAGCAGAATAGCACCTCCTGGTGAGAGCAAAAAGAAAAAAGAAAAACCTGTAATTTCATGGTGTAACCACTAGATGCCGGTATAGGACTCTATTTTTTCTTCAGTAAAATCAATCTAATATATTTTTGTTCAATAATATTTTTTCTTTTGTATTTTGAGAGGATTTTTTGGTACTAATTCATATTTATGCAATAATTATGATCGGTTTTTCCCATTGAGAATAGTACAAAATTTAAAAAAAATGTTAAATTATTTTTCAATGAATGCAGTATTTCAGATTAAAATAAAGACTAGGCCTTTAAAATCCAGAATAGCAGAATAGCACCTCCTGGTGAGAGCAAAAAGAAAAAAGAAAAACCTGTAATTTCATGGTGTAACCACTAGATGCCGGTATAGGACTCTATAGAGAGGCTTGTGAATTTCCTAGTTGTTTTTATACATAATTGTTTACTTTTATTAGGTTGTGGATTTAAATGTATATTAAGGCATTCTCAAAGACTACGTTTTGTCAAGGTTTATATTTGTTGTTGTTTTAAATGTTGATTTGAAGTGTAGGTTTTTGCATTATTATTACTACATTCAAACCTGAACACAGAAAGACAGTTTTTTCTTACACAAAACATTAAAATTCAATAAAAATGTAACAGAAATTAACAGGAATGCTTTATCAGAGCTGAACCCTTCTGGGTCTGATCTGATTTTAACCTCTTATTTCAGTCTTCTGACTCATTTTGGCTATTTGGTTATAGCCATACCAATTAATCTTAGTGTGTATAATTCTGTGTGTGAGAGTAAGTGTGTGTGTGTAAGTAAGTGTGTGTGAGTGTGTGAGTGGATGTATCTGTTTTACACTCTTGATGTTTTAGAGTGTAACCCCTTCTTTGCTGTCCACTTTTTTACTGCATTGTAGTTGAATTATTGATTTTATTTTGCATAGTTGCAGAGTTACAGTCACACCAGATCATAGGTGTGTGTGTGTGTGTGTGTGTGTGTGTGTGTGTGTGTCCGTGCGTGTGTTGATTTTGCACTCTAGATGTCTTAGAGTTTCACCCCTTCATTACTGTGCATTTCTTTTCTGCATTGTGGGGGATTTGTAAATTGTGTACACAAAAATGTTCAGTATTTTCAATTTTTTTCCCCCATTTCCCATTCATTTCCTATGGTCGCTCATTTTTGACCGAAGACCGTGAGTGTGACTTTTTTTTTTTTTGGACCACTTAGCTTTTTCGAATCATGCCCTCAATTTTTTTTTATGTTCACATACCAAGTGCCATAAAAGAGAGCAAGTTTCGTACCATTCCGATGAAGCTACGATTTTTTAAAATTCAAAATGTAAAATTGTCCAGTCAGAAGTTACCGAAAACCGCACAAGGGTTAAAATGATGAAATGCTTTGTGCTGAAAGAAACATGATCGCAAGTCATTATGATGCTGGATTTGAGAGTGAATCAGAATGAAATTGGTCTGCTTGATTCATTAGCAAAGTTCTGAATCAAAATGATTCTTATCTGCTAATCTTAACAACCAGTCTTGGTTAAAACCCTGTCTGCTGTTCTTTTCCTTGAAATAATGTATTTGTAAATGTGTTTATTCAGGTTTGGAGACTGATGGGATTTACAGAGTCAGCGGGAATCTGGCTGTCATTCAGAAACTGCGCTTCGCTGTCAATCATGGTGAGAAAGAGTCAAAATCACATCAATATCATACCCATAACCGTCATGATACGAGGATCTGTCATTCATTGCAATTAAAAGCAACATGAAATCAAAACTGAACGCATGTCCTGGTTTCACTGTGAATGATTCACTGTAATTATCAGCAATATATAGGGCATAAATACATTTCAAACCCAGTTTTATGAAATCATTATTGTTATTTAAAAAAAAATAAACATGTCATACATACAGTAACATTTCCTATAAAATTAATATGCAGGTACTTTGGTAACATGTTTGAATGGTTGAATACTTCATTGTATAAAAATATTTCTCCCATCACGCTGTAGAAAAGCCCAAATTATGTCACTTCCTCTGTTTTAATTTTAAGAAATTGTACATTTTATGTAACTGGGGAAAATTTAGATTTGTGTCGGTTAATTGTACTAAATATTTTGTACTACAAAATTGATGATTAATTAATTTATTGATCAGATGAGCTGCTGATGTGATGTACTGTAAGATCAGAAAGTCATAAGTATTTTTTTTTTTTGCTGTATGATCTTTTATATGTTTTTCCATCACTTTAACTCAAAATAATTTAACCAATTTCAACTTAATTTTTTAAGTTAACTCTAAATAAATAAAATTTAAGTTGAAATGAACTGAACAGCCAATTTGATTATACTTAAATTAAGGCAGCAGCTGAATTGAAGTTTTTAAGTAGAAGTAGGTGGAATTGTTTACAGTGTAGTTGCAGAAAGCACTCATCAGTACGTCACAGAAGAGCGGCCTGTCATGTGACGTGGAAATTGTCATCAGACGTGTGTGTGTGTGTGTGTGCGTTTGTGTGCTAATTTAAAATATAAAACTATAATAGTGTATTAATGATACTAAAATAACACTGATTTCTACTCTGCAAAATATTTCATAGCTTGGCTTGGCATAACTAAAAAAAATGTATATTATTAATTATTAAAATGCTGTTTTAAGATTTTATTAGTTTACGTGACTTTTCCAAGTCTAGAAATCACAATTGTAAAGTTAGTTTTCCTTATATATCCCGGTTTTCCAAGGCCATGTGAATCCTGGTTCTTCAAAAAAAAAAAAAATCTATTGAATTCATATCTAGAATATAATATAAATATCTTGATTTTAGCTGTTTAGCTTAAAAGCTGATTTTGTCTGATTTTTTAATAATTCTAATTTTTTGTCTGATTTTGAAGTCATCTCGAGTCAAAACTATTTTCAGTGCAAAACTATTTTTCAAATCAGCATTATGTCACAGATACAGTTGTATTGAATCTTTAAAATTGGTTACAGAATTGAGTTGTGCAAGAGAGAAACTTTAATCAAATGATCTCTGTTGATTTGCTTCTTCACCTTTTCTTGACTTTTGATCTTCTACTTCTGCAGATCTTGTGCTGCAGCCTGATGCCTAAAAACATGCAGCATCTCTGTGTGTGGCACAGCGTTTCTGACTCACATGTTCTCTGCTTTTCCTGCAGAGCGTCTGGATCTGGACGACCCACAGTGGGACGACATTCACGTCATCACCGGAGCGCTCAAGCTGTTCTTCAGAGAGCTGCCCGAGCCGCTCGTGCCGTACGGATTCTTCCATGACGTCGTCGAGACCGTCAGTGAGTGACGACGAGAAAACCAGAGGAGATGCATGAGAAATGATTCATTAGAAATGACTCAGTGCTTCTGTGTCCTGTAGAGCTATCTGATTACCTGGATAAGGTGGACAGACTGAAGCTGCTGGTCCTCAGCATGCCTCCACACAACCAGCACACCTTACAACACGTGATCCAACACCTCAGACGGTACGAACACACACACACACACACACACACGTGTGAATTAACATACATGTCAGAATCTTTTCATGTTTGAAGTCTTAATGTGTTTGAAAAAGGTGAATTTTAATGGATACATG